TATAATTTCTCTAAATAAAAATTTATAAAAATAATATAATTTTCAAGTGTGTTTATTATACAAACTTTTATTATACAAACGATGAAATTATACGTCACGCATTTTATCTTCATTTGATTAATCTATTTCAATGATAGACAGGAAGTCGAGTCAGTCGAGATGAAAAAAGAAAAAGATAAATAAAAGTATGGAGAAAATAAGTGAGAGTCCTCGAGGTGTACGTTATTATTGTTTCTTCAAGGATCAATGGTGATCCCACGCGAGATGAAGAGTTATAAAATGATGAAAGATCTTACAATTAATATAGGATATAAGAGCTCGGTAGCAAAATAATGTCGTGAGAACGTCGCTCAAGTGTATCCTGTTCATTCGTTCCCTAGTAGCAGTCTTCCTGCCATAGTCGTCTCCTCCTAAAGAATTTCATTAGTCTGACATAATAGAACTCTACTCGCATGACTCCTTTTTTTCCCGTCAAGTGTGAAACTGGTAACAGATCGTCTATCTATTATCTTTTTATTGCGATAGTTCGCCTTTTAATCGACTTTCTAGTGACTCTGAATAAATGAGAAAGGAATCAACTATTTCTAATGCACTAGTTTCCTTTTCACACGTCTTAATATATCTATTATCATAACACTTTTTCTATCGCCATGGTTAGTTTTTAAATCAACTTTCTAGTGACTTGAACAAACGAGAAAAGACTCAATTATTTTATCAAACGCTACTCTTTATTTTCTTATACGTTATATATTGAGTGACACGAAAAATTCGTCTTCATTTATAAATATATATTTTATTTATATTCTTAATATATACACAGTGAATCTCTCAGGAGTATTCATACCTTCGTTCTCAATTTAAAACAATTAATATTTTCTTGTAATACAATATTTCAAAATTCTTATAAACAGAAACATATTTTAAGATTATTTTTTTGTTTCTAAATGGAAATAAATTTTATTTCAAAAAAATAATATATTATAAAAAAAAGTAAAACTTGACATAACTGATAAAAAAATTCGCCTCACAAGATATTCCCGTCCATCTGAAAAGCATTATAAGATGGAAGGAAAGATCAACCAAGTACTACTTACAAAAAATAATAATTGTATTTTTATTATATCTTACGCAAGTATAAATACTCTTATATTGTATATAAAAATAAAATGTTGATGTATAATTAAATTTACATCAATTTGAAACTTTAGTAATTTTAAAATAGATTTGTGTGCATATAAGAATTTTAATGCTTTGCATTATAAGTAAATATCAATTATTTAAAATTTTCAGTGGTAGCGGGGGTACGAATACTTCTGTAACTCACTTTACATATATTTTTCTCAAAATCACATAGCTCTTTTATTTTTCTAACGCAGTGATTCACTTGTATATAAACTTTCTAGTGACTTTGGATAAATGAAAGGAGAATCCACTATTTCTAAAATACTAGTATTTTTTTTTTACGTCATATAATATATAATTATCTATATATAACGAATATAATAATAATTATATTAATTATCGTATAGTATAACTTTATTAAATAGTGTATTATATTCCGATATATTTTGATTATAATAATTTTGTTTGTTGTATATTCGAGAAGCAGAAAAAATGTATGTTGCCATAAGAAGTTTTGTGTCACGAAAGTATGCGAACCTCTAACGACGAGCCGTTATATGTACTCGTTTAGAAGGTACGCCGACGACTGGTTACTTGGTATACATACATATATTATAAACCTTTTCCTTTTCTCGTTAGCAGCGTAATCGACGTACGGAACGACGTAAACTTCGTTCGCTTGTTGCAGCTGCTCGTCAGCCATGAGATCCGATGATACGCGAAAAAGTGTTAATCATTGGAGAGCGATATAATGTTCCACCTCGATAAGTTTCACGATCATTCGATCATTAGATATTGGATTACGATTTTCCTTCATTTCTCAAGAAATCATGATATACGATTCTCCATGATTGGATCAATTTCTTTCGTATCTTTTTCTCATCGAGTTCTTTTAAATGTCATGTAACTTTGAAATCATACATTCATATACAAGATGACCCATGAGTCAGTTGACATTAGCTGTTATTTGATTCTTCATTAATTGAGCCGTTCGCAGGCAAAAGTGCTTAACTCCATCTTTAGAATTTTTAAAATTTTACTATCAAAACAATTGTGATCAATAATCAACTTTTTTGTTTAAAATAAATTTCTTTAATAATTAGACTAAATATTAATAAATGAGAACAATTTTTATGACCTTTCAATGATAAATGAAACGATAGTATATATTACTTTATCAATTTTTTCTACTTCTTGTTTTGTAGAGTATATCAATTAGACATATGAGTGGTTTAATTAGCATAGCAGTAATTTTTTGTTGTTGTTAAAAATCTCTTTTACATAGTTAAAGTAAAAATAAAAATAAAATTATTATAAGTATTATTACAAATTTTTATTATAAATTAAATCCGTTTACATACAGCAATAATACATATCTGTCAATTGATTTAGGGACCACTCTGTTTGTATTTTTTAAATCCTATTTTATTTATTTCACCATAAAATTGATAATTCGGATGCGAAACATACTTGATTTTTAAAAGCTTAGTACAGTTTAAGAATACAATTTTTTAACTTTTTTATACTAAACAAAAATAGAGCTATGAATGGTTAATCTCTTTAAATTGGACACATTTCTAGTGACTTATAATTTATAATACTCAAGATTGAACGATCGAAACGAGATATCTTATTTCGCATTTACTATTACAGAGAGATCACCGACGTCGGGAAGTTCACCAAGAAGAATTGTGGCAAACGGTCGTAATGGTCAGCAGGGTCGTGTCAATAGTTTTCGAGAAAAGAAAAATTGTCCTTCAGTGGCAACAATCAATCTTGGTAAGTATGAGATAGAGGAGAATAAAAAGATTTGTTTGTGTTTGTGCGTGCGTGCGTAGTGTGTAAGAGAGAAGAAAGAGAAAGAGAGGAGGAACGAGATGGTTGATAAATCGAGTTGATGAATTTACGACGAATTTATATACGTTATGTTCGTCGATGAAGCACGGAGACATAAGGCTGAGGGCAACGCTGCGTACTTCCGGTTAGAGACCTAACACGATCAAAGCGGCTTTCCTTTACTTAACTTACTCCTGAATTTATGCAACCATTAGTACGTGTTTGTTTGTAACTTAAATGGCAAGCATCATTAACAGTGTTCTTTCGTTTCCCCTTTTTAATATCAGTTTTTTATGAATTTTTATTGCAAAATTTTGACATTTTCTTATTAAAACTTCTAAAATATTTAAGCGAATCTTGTAAAATTTATCTCTAGGAACGTTACCAACTAAGATGTAATCGCAACAAGCGTTGAATTTAAAATGAAACTCGTGTTAGTCGTCGTTTATGGCTGTTCGTAACATAATTATTTAAATGTGACATTTGAAATATTATTTAACGACAATGTGAAAGTTAAATCGAAATAATTTCGAATTAAACGTTGTCAATATTTTGTGTCGTAGTCAGTATTGAAATAGTAAGAAAATCTAAAATAATTAGGAATATTGTTATGCATATTTCGGAGAAAATTAAGCCATTTCAGAATTTTTATATTTAAAAATTTAGGAAAGTTTAGGGTTACGTTTAGCAAGAATGATAATAAACTTTTGTTAAATACTAATCCCTTTTCATAAATGGGAAGAAAAATTTGTAAATGTCCTTTGTCGAAAATTTTCTCGCAACTCAAAATATTCAGACCTTTCTAGGATTTAGAAAAGATAAAATACCGGGATATAGGGATCCTTTTTTTTCAAAAGCCAGGTAAAATTTTAACGGTTGTAGCCCTCACCAACATTTCGACGAGGCCAAACCATCTCTCCTTATCCCCATTCGTAAATTCAACGTAGCATGTTGCTTGTGAACTACCGGCAAACAGTTCGTCGAGAGCTGCGAACGAGTGAACACACGCACACTCTACGGGTATCCGCGATTAAAGAATTCTCTATGCTTTAGTGAAGAGAGAAATGTTCTTCGGGAACGAGTAACAGTCAACCAAAATATTCCACGGCAGTGAGAACGTGATTTGTGAGCTGACTTGTGTGACAGTGATACGTGATCAGGATTAGTAATGATTGAAGTACCTCCGAATGTGGGCAACGTTTGTGCGCGGCGATCGAGTTTGCCGAGCCCGATGCACCAAGTGCAACTTACAGCCGACCGGAACAAACGTAGCTTGAATTCTTCGAAATATAGTATATACATATTTTCTTTTCATTTTTCTTTACTTTAATATTTTTTGCACGATTATTCTATCTAACATGGAAACAAATTTTATAGGGTGTATTACCCGTAACGAGCACATTCGTTAAATATTCATACATCAATATTACAAATTAATGCAATGTTACAATATTTAATAATCCCTATCCACGTTATTTTTAATCAGTATATAAACGAAGTTGATAACATGTGTTACTCGTAATGTTTGTGTTCAAAAAACGTGTTCGTAGGATATTTACATATCTGTGTTATAGATCGTATACGTCGAGTGACTAAATATTAATGTTTTGAGTAAAGTGTTAGGTAGGTAAAATGGTGACATTACGAGTCCTTCAATAGATAAATCCTTTTGCCGATTGTAAACAAAGATTTGAGGAAAAGATCGAATTAGTTTCAGTCGGTTAGTTACATTCATAAAATACGCAAGTTTCGAGACATGGTCCGAGGTGTTTTCGGTGGTTTTGGTAATTACGAATTTTTCTAATTTATTAGAAAATTAGTTTAGTTAACTTTTTGAATAAAATTACGAATATTTGTAAAGTAATGTTATATGATTTGAAATTAATTCGTACAATTTAAAATATTTTCAAATAATTACCATAAGATGTTTTCTCTCTTACAATAAGCTATTATTAGACAATACAAAATCTATAAAAGTTAGAAGAAAATCATGAGATAAATAAAGTTAGAGAAATAGAAGTAAATTAAGGAAGAAACAAATAATATTTTCTCATAATTCACATTGCAACAAATATTATCTCTTTCTCCCTTGATCGATCGATTCGATTCCCAAGAAGATCGAGAGGCTCGATTATTTGTACACGTCCGATCGGTTATACGTCCAATTAAGCTCGCGTTTAATGGTAGCGTTCTCGATCAACCTGTCAAACTACTCTCGCTGTCGCATTGCATTTTCGTCTCAAGATTTAACGCTAAAACTCTTTGAAAATTCTTCTTTCCGTTATCAACTAACTCTCGAAATGATTTTCCGAATGAGGAAGTACATGGAAGTGAAAAATAAAGGAATAAAGAAGAAGGAAGGAAAGGTAAAGGCGTGACGATTCAAAGTGTAGCGTCAAAGACCCGTACCTTTTTATCTTATACGGGCGATAAAACGGTTCACGGTGTTACGGTACTCGGAGAAGCTATCATCGTTACACGACTCGTAGCAACTACCGGTTAGCCGTTGGTTCGGCATGCTCTCGTTAACGTTGAATTTTCTGTGTTGCAGAAAAGAGCCCGACGGCGTCGCGCAAGCAACCGATTACAAGGAGATTAACGGCCAATGTCCCTGCCAAACAACCGTCACAGCAACGACAGCAACAACAACAACCACAACAACAACAACAACAGCAACAGCAACGTGCCACGAGACAAATAGAAAAAGGTATTTATTGATCGAGAATATTTTTGATTGGTAAACGTAATGTATGACATTTATTTTCATTCAAAATCAAATGAATATGAACGAAGATACAGGAGCTTTTGAATTAAATTAATTTATTAAAAAATATATAGATCTATGAAAATATAATATTATCTTTGGGATTAATATCTATATATATATATATACTAATAATTAAATAAAAATTATTTAAAAATTAAATCTATATAAAGTTTTTAATAATTACCGGTACGTATATATCTTCGTTTTATCACGTGATATGAAAATAATAATGGAAGTTTGAATAAGAATAAATAAATAAATATTCTTTTTATCTTGCTTATGAAATCTTTTGCTATTTTTCTTCGAGCATCTTTCTTGGAGCGTCCGGTAATCGAAATCGAAGCGGAAGCAAGCTTCGAGATTTAAATAGAACCTAATGATGACGAAATCGATTCATAAGATAAATCGGGATCGAACACATTAGGCTTGATAAGTATTGACTCGTTAACGATCGTCTAACTGTCAATGAACAAAGTTTACAATCCTCGCAGTATTGTTGGAAATTGCTAATGGATTGAGAAGTCTTTTTATGTTTTCTCTCATCGTTCTTCGGTTGGCTCGTTTTCAAGATAATTTCGACGCTTATAGAAAGTCGATAAAAAGAAATTAGACATGATTTGTTTACCGATTTATATCTTTTTGACCTTGCTATATCAAATGATTTATTTATAAAGATACTCATGGAAGTTTAATTATTCGGAGAGAAAATTTATAAGGATCTTATAATATCTCATAATATCTTGTACATTTATTTATTTATTTATACTAAAAATTTATATAAACGATGAATATTTTTTAATTCATTTATATCTACATATTTTCTACTTTTATGTAATCGTTAGTAATTTAATTAATCACAATGTTACGTTATTAAAAGGAATAAGACGGTAAATAGATATTTCTCATATTTTCATTTTGAAATTCTTATATCCATATAATTCTTGTTCTATTGCATCGATTATTGTCCAGCTGATCGCAAGATTACATCAGTCAAGTTCCGTCACTCTCTTCTTTAATAGTAGAAAATCTTTTTCTTTGAAAACTAGAAAGGAACGAACTTTCACGTAGGAAAAATCAGCAAGCACATTCTGGAATACAAATTCCTCATACTCATTTGTGTCCAAGCAGTAAAAGTTCGTCGTCTAACGACCGGTCAAAAGCTGGCCGTTAGTAAATTTCCATATGCAGTACTAGAAAATGAGAGAAAAAGAAAGAGTAAGAGAGAGAACAAAAAACTCACGGAAGGCCTTTTCCGAAAGAGGACGGTGTTTTAACGTTATCTCGTGCGGCATGAAACAAACGTGTTCGCGTTGACTTTCTAATTCATTGACCGCGAGATACACGGTTAACTACGGTAATAGTAGTAGTGGTGGTGGTATAGTAGTAGTAATAGTAGTAATAGTAACAGCAGTAGTGGAAGTTTTCTAAAAACGTCCCACGGTCATTTCGCGTTGCGTACGCGCGTGTTTTCACGCTGGGTTTACACAGACATGTATCCAAAACACACACACACACATACAGATATATCTATATAACATATGATCTATCTGTGTATTCTGTTAGCTTTACTTTAAAGAAGAAAGTTACTCTGCTTTCACTGGATCACACATTAACAATATACCACTGTGAATCCTGTCTCTTCTTAGCCCGCAGCACAGAGCGTTCTCCAAAGGTTCTTTTATTTATTTATTGTAGTAAAAAGGAAACTTCGAGGTTTCTATCGAAAGCGATTCATCGATCAGGCAAACCCAAAGTCTACTGCTACTACTACTACTACAAGAATATCTCGAATTTCTACAACTCGTGTTTTCGTACGTCTTCCTACTCTCAATAGAATCGCCTTAATTTACGCTTTCATTAATCATTCATGAACGGTTCTCGAACATGCGTGCTCGCTCGCTATGAAAACGATCGAGACAGGAAGGAGTCTACGGTGATTAGAGAGGTTGGCTAGTTTCGATGACCTTAACGAGTTCCTGAAGGAAGGAGTAGTCTTTTTTTTTTTTTTATCTCTATGCGACTTTGTGCAATTAATAGAAGATTAAATTGCGAAGAGTGTTTTTATTATTAGTATTATATATTAGGTTTATTAAGTTTAAACTATTTGATTGGTATTTTTTTTATCCTATAATATTTATTTTATTCTTCTATAATATTAACTTCTCACAAAAGTCAAATTGATGAAAACGATTAATGAAGAAAATCATTTAAATTTGAATAACTAATTTTCTAACTCATCTCTAATCGATGATTTTCTTTGTTTGAATCAATTGTTCCTTTCAAACGGCACCATTTAAGGGTAACCAATTCCAAATGGAAAAGTCAATTTATTCGGAACACGACTCCTTGAAATAACTCATAGCGATCGTGAGCGCGCACGCGTGCATGATCTCTTGCCTTCAACATTTTTATTTCGCGCCTTCCCTGGAGTGGTCAGTTTCGCGCGAGCGCGAACGCACACACGCATGGATAAACATTTATTGTGTGTCCGGTTGAAGACCGTTCATCCATCTTTATCATTATCCGTCATCTTCAATGCTGGAGTTCGTTTCAAGGTGGTTTTAGTGCTAATTCACATGTTAGTGCTGGTAGTATTAAAGCTGGTAGTATTAGTAGCAATACTAATAGTAGTAGTAGCAATGATGGTAGTAGTATAGTGATGATGGTGGTGGTGGTGGGAGGGAGAATGTATCGTCTGTTCGAGGCAGCTTGCGGCTCGTGCTAATTCAGTCGAACCGCGGACTCGGCCAACAAATCGCCACGAGTGACGATTCTAATTCGTCTCAAAACGCCGATAGAACACAGTGTTATCTTTGTCACCACTTTGACGTTTCCTTGCAATATACCCTCAACCTTTCTACATCTTCATATCGGTTTTCCTTTTTTTTTTTTTTATTCCAAAAAGTTTTCTTAAGTTTTATTTTTAAAAAAAGTTTTCTTTCGCGAGAAAATCTTTGTTATTAATTTTTTTTGTAATTTAGAAAATAATTTGGACAAATTGTGTTTATATTTCGTTGACATGAAAAGAGATTCATCAGGGAATGCAGTGTAATGAAGAATCGATATTACTTTAATAGATTTTTATTTCGTAGTGACCACATTGGAGACTGATTTTTTTTGTAATCTTTTTCGATCGACTACGTAAATAGAATGGAAACTATGAATATCGGGAAGTGCGTAGATATCTGTTCTTAAAATACTTTGCTTTTGATGTTTGGGCAGAAATAAGATAGGAAGAGAAAGGGATTGGTCGAGTTTTAATAGTAAGGAAGGAAGGAAGTACATATGTACAAAACGTCTCCTATAGTCGGGCCAAGGTGATCACAGAGACGTCTTTGGTTTTCTTGCAGACTTTCCACAATTCCGAGAGTCTCTCTTTCCCTCTCTCTTTCTCTCTTTCTCTATCTATCTTTCTTGGTCTCATCGGACAGTCGACCTTAACCCAGTGTATGCCTTCGGCGGGACTGGCGTGCGTTCTTGAACGACTAAAGCGATCAAGATCATCCGACCTTTAAGTGCGCTGACTTTTTTTCAAGTCAGTCTTTTCCCCGACACGATCGCGAAGAATTGCGATCGAGGAAGAAGAAGAAGCAAGCGGGGTGCGAGGATCATAATACCGTGCATGCTTTCACGTCCGTCATCGTCTCAAGAGAATGGAGCTCTATCTATGACGTAAACAGACCAAAAATCTTCGTCGCGTGTCGATCGATTTGTTGGCCCAATGCTGTTTGTCCCTTCATTAAATTAATTTGGTCTAATTACTCGCTTTCATTTTCTCGAAATCAATTATAGATAGATTTTCATTGAAATCGAGTTATCTTATTTAAAAAATTTGATTTACTTCGAGAAAATATGATTGTAATGATGATTTTAAAAAATTCGAATTTTCTTCGAGTTCGAAAACGATATCGGTTGGATGAACTTTCTCTTCGACGAACTCGATGAACGAATTTAAAAATTCTGGGCTAAAATATCATGGAAGATGCTCGTGAGACGAACAAGTCTTAAAATTTTCGAAGGACCGATTTTTAACGTCGGAGAACAACACCTTTGTCGGTAATGGCACCGGTGACATTGGTTACAGATAACACAAACGGCTATGCGGTGTCAAGAACCAACACCATCGAAACTTGCGATCAAGCCGCTCAAACAGACGTACCTTATGATGTTTTTCATGTTAAGAGGGCTGAGCAGGTCGTTCAAGCTTTATCCGTCACCGTACAATATCTGGCATATGAAGTAAGTTTCATTCAAATTTAATCGAATCTAATATTTAGAGCGTAACAAAGTCTCTAATTCAATTTTCAATTAACTAACTAAGTGAATTCATAACTTTCTACTTATTACAATTAAATTCGTTTTTTTTTTCCTTTCTTTTTCTTTTCTATATACGAATGTATTAAAGGTTAAAAGAATTGTTTTCAATTTCATAGGGATACGATTGGTATCTATAAAACATTATTTATTTGATTTCTCAGTGGCTATTTATATCTGTCATAATTAGTAATGTTAATAATACAAAGATCTAGTCTCGATAACGATATTGTTGTTCATAAGCGTGTTAAGAGAGCGAGTGATAAAAATATTCTTTAGTTTCTTCGATAAACACTTGTTGATGTATGATTTCTCATTCTTTCAGCTGGATGCATTTTCAACGCCAAAACTAAAGAAAAATTACGAAAATATGAAGACCGAATGGTTAGCGGCATGCTCAGATGTGGACGAGCTACGAGCGAGACACATTAACATGGAGAAAAGATTGAACACAGCAAGGAAAGATCATTGTAAAGCCTTGGATCAGCTTCGTGAAGATCGTAAGACTGTGCCAAGTGTATTTGTGTTTCCGCTCGTATTCTGGCTCGTTACGGCGAAAACTTCTCGTGACGCAATTCGCAAACACCAGAACTAACCGCGAACTCCGTCGTTCCAAAATATTACATTATAGCCCTATACATATTTTTAGAATAACTCGATTTGATGTCGAGCCAGAGCGAATATAAAAAAAATTAAAAAAAAAATTAGGAAAAAATAGTAGAAAGAGGAGGAGGAGGAGGAGGACGTTGCTCCCTTTAATTTAATCTTTTCTTTGACTTATGCATTTTGTTATTTTATTTATATTTTATCAATAACAATCATTCGAGGATAGATTCATCCGTTTCGTGACTATAAATTACTCGGCGAGTAAACGCTATACTTAGTAGCTGAATGACTCATAATTTCTGAACGATTTTATCGTTCTTTATCGCATGGTACATAGCATTATGCCATTATGATGCTCGCATCGTAACAAGTATAATGGTCATAATGCCGGTATGAGCGGTGAGCGGACGAATTGGAGCAATTGTTAATTAAAATGAACGGGTTTGCCATGCCTACGCACATCACACGTCTGTCCGCTACATCGTCGGAGTCGGTTTCGAATAAAGTTTAGAAAAACGGGACGATATCGTAACGACGATATCAAAGTTTAAAAGGGTTATTTGCTTTCCAACGAATACAAGCTCGTAACGTTGATCGAAGAAAAGTTAATTATAGGTTGGCACGCTCGGCCAACGTGTGATCCATCCGTTCTTGTCTTTTCTATCGCTTTTGTTCTTTTCTCAGCTAAGTTTCGTTTATTTCAATCTTTCATCTTAGACATGATTATCAAGAACGAATTTCTCTTTGATATTTTCCAGTAGAGAGCCGGCACGCGGAACAGCTGGCATCTTTGGAAAGCAATTTCCAAGAGGAGAGACAGAAGTGCGAGTTTAGGCTAAACGATTGCTTGAACGAGGCGACAAAAGAGCACCGAGCAGCGATAGCGAGGCTACGATCTGAACATGAGGCCGAATTGATGCGCAAAGATTCAGAAACGAAAAGAAGATCGGTTGTACACGATCAAGGTGCAGCCTTGGCGGCGGAAGTCGAGTCCTTGAGATCTGTCTTGGAATTGAAGAGTCAAGAGAACGCAGCCTTGCGATCGGAACTGGACGGCACACGCCGGGAGATCGAGGACAAGGACATATTGCAGCAACGAGTGGAGATGCTTGAAGCGAGATGCGAAGATTTGAAGGCTCAGCTTCAGTGCAAGGAGGCATTGGAGAGGCAGATCTCTCACGACAACGAGATGCTCCACGAATCGATCCATCAGGTCTCTAAACATAATAAACGTCTTTTGCAACGTAACGAAGAATTACAATGGAGGTTACGTCAAAAAAACGAGGTAGTAACAGTCCTGGCGAATCAACTAGCGTCACCAAGACTGTCTAGATCCTTAGGTCCTGAACACATAGATCATTCGATATCGTTCGATAAGAATAACCAACAATCCTCTTCTATGGTTAAGTTTGTAGTTGAGAAAAGCGATTCGGTCTCATGGACGCTTGACTTGGACGAAGCACATACACCTGTAAACGCACCATCGAAGTTATTAACACAGGAGGGTTCCTTGTCGGTGTCTCGACAGGGCTCTTTGAGGCTCACGCCACGAAGAACTGGTATCGACACTAGAGCCAGATCCAAGAGTATCTCCGTAACAGATTCCACGAGAACCGAAGATTCGAGCTGGCCATATTCTTCTACACCAGTTAATTCACGAAGAAGACCCAGGAGCGACCCATCATCTTCTTCAGCCTCTTCTTCCTCATCTTCTTCATCAACAACTTCATCCTCATCAACGGCTCCAACCAATCCCGTCGTTGCAGTTGCCGTAGCTGCAGCGGCTGCCGCTGCCGCAGCTGCCGAAGATTGCAACCCCGGCCAGACACCTCAGGAAGCTGGCGGCGAAGCCATGATCTCTGAAGAGACATCTGCTTCCAGCAGCGAAGACGAGTCTTCTACGAGTAGCGATATACCTCGTCTTCCCATGCAATTTGCTTGGGGAAAACCCATCAATTAACACACACAAATTAGCCAAGATTTTTGTTCATAAGACCGTAACGATGGCATTTCGCTTGCCCTGCCTATCGACCCCGTCTCCCTTCGTATTTTTTCTCTTTTACGTGGTTGCATTTTTATACTTTTGACACCCCTATTTCTTCAGAGTCTTTCTATCGAAGATGTGAAGAGAAATACGCGTACGAAGCCAGACATTAAAGTTGAATGTTCGTGGACGTATAAATACATGATATTCGATATCCATCAATATCAAATACTTCTATATTCTTATATCTTTTCGTTATGACTTCATAGGAGGTTTGTTTTCCCTTTTTTGTTTTCATTTTTTCCCTTTTTTGTTTTCATTTTTTTCCCTTTTTTGTTTTCATTTTTTTCCCTTTTTTGTTTTCAGTTTCTTTCGTTTTTTTTAAATAAAGTTGACCGCGTATTTGTGTCGTGGACAAGAGTATCGTGTAAAACCATTAGACATTCATAATTATAAACATATAAAATGATAAACGGAACGAATTTCTTGATTTTTGTTTTCCTTGATGAGTCTTGTGATTAATTGTAAAATATTTTATTATTTTTTCATTCTAGTTTTTTTTTCCCTTTTTTTCTTTTCTACTTTAAGATCTACTCGTTCACTAATAAAAAAAAAAAAGAAAACATTCTATTATTTGCAATGTATACAGGTGCCTAATACTTTTGGCCAAGGATGTGTACATGTTAACGGAATTATCTAATCATGTATAAGAAGAAAATACGTTTCGGTCGTCTGGGCCATTACTTATTTAATTCGTGTCACTTTTACACATGTCCGTTTTATAAGAATGCGATTACATTAAGTCTGTAAATAGGCAACGATGTTTATAAATTAATTAATTTTTATCACAATTGTATATAGCCGAGAACATTACATCATATACCGTCTCCTTCCTCCCAAATCATCGATAAAAAATATTTGCTGCGCTTACATTTAAAATGACAGATTTTCATTATAGCCGCAGCCTAAAAAGAGCGGCGAAATGTCGCAATTCCATTTCTTTAAAGGACCGCTTATGGTCTTTTAAATTGGAATGGTGAGTATAAAGTTGGGTTTGAAGTAGATTTGTGTTACAAAAAAAAAGAAAAACTCTTCTTGATGATAACTTTGGGATGATTGTGCATTGCAGTATTCGCTGTTCATCTTTTCATGATGAAAGAAAGAAAAAGAAAGAAAAAAGAACCTAATAATTATGTTATCGTTCGATTTATCCGTGTACAGTTTCGATAAGCTTATACGTAATGCGATACGATAGATTGAGATACACTAACAGCGGTACGAACTCGTTAAAATTTTTGACGAAATTGAGATGCCAAGTAAATACATAAGCCTATCGAAGTTGTGTATCGGTTTAAATCACGCCAGCTGAAACGAGAATCGAATAAATACAAAGTTGATTCTAATCTGCTCTATTTGGAAAAACTGCAGAGATCACATTCGGTAGCAGTAGCTTAGCGATAAACGGAAGTATTATTCGCAGAGAAGTGTTTCTTCTCTCACATGTGCTGGCAAATTTAATGTATTATATATTTATCAAATAAATATTATCTGAATTACCACAACTTTCGCTATCATTCAGAACTTGTAATACAATGTTGAGTTTATTTTTACCTGTATATGTATATAAATACATAAATAGAATAATACATTCGTAACGCGTAATTTACGTTACAAAGTTTGTATGGATTGAATTTAACGGGTGAAATTAAAAATCATATAAGTCGTTATAACATTTGAAATTCTTATGAAATTATTTTTAATGCTGTGAAAATTAATTACTTCCCTTTTTTTTTGAATTCAATTTTAGAGGAAAATTTACATTTCTTTTTCCATTGCTTCTTGGGCAATCTTGCATCAGCAATTCAATTAATTTATGGACAATCGCAAAAGAACGTGTATTAAGTCCTTGTATTAAAACCACGTGTTCTCGCGTACTTATGAAGGGTGAAAAGTTACAGTGCATTGAATCGAAGTTGGACGCCAAACACAAATTTATACCAAATTAACCCTTTCGTTGCGAAGCGCTCAAAAACGAATTGCTTTTTGAGTAGCCGACGTAACAGTCACCACAGAAAAATTGGCATAGAACCTCAACAGCAGAAAAAAATGAATAAGTACTCTTTATGCTCATTAATTCCTCAATCAAAATCCATAATAGCTCGCTTTATTAATTTATTATTTAATTAGTTATTAATAATTAATAATTATTTACACTTTGAATAATTATTAAATGGTGACGTCATGAACGGGAGATATGTTATACACATCAACAAATTCACGGCGCAAGCGCACTTTGAAAAACAATGAAAGAAAAGTTGGTATACCAGCAGGGGATATATTTAAAAGTGATTTCCAAAGTAACAAACTATTGGGTAATGAAAAGAAATTGGTTAATCGTTCATAATGTATTAACAATAGGTAAATATTTTCATTTTTTCATTTTTTTCTGCTGTTGCGGTTCTATGCCAACTTTTCTGCGGTAAACAAAGGCACCGTAGGAACGCTGGCAAGGAACCTTAACAGCAGAAAAAAAATAAATAAGTGCTCTTAATTGTACACTATTTGCTCAATCAAAATCCATAATTGCTGACTTTATTATTTATTTATTTATTTAATTAGTTATTAATAATTGAAAATGCAAAAATGTTTTTTCCTATTTCTAAGCAAAGCAACGAAGTTTGCAACATCAGAAAAAAATGAATAAGCGCTCTTATTTACTCACTATTTACTCAACTTTATTTTTTTTATCAAAGAATACAATATTCTTTGATAGTATATGTAGTATAGTTATATTGTAAGAAAATTTAAAATAATTATATTTAATTTTTAGTGTCTAAATACATGTGTGCCTTCAGAAATAGGCAGAATAGGTAATTATTTAACCGCTCCTACGCAGTGATAACTTCGAGAGTAAAATTTTTATCTAATGAAACGTAAGAATAAAATTTATTAATATTTAAAATATAGAATAATAGATGTTTAATATTTTAAAGTTTAATAATACATATGTAAAATTTAAAAAAATATATTACGAATTCGTAAGCAACATTATCAATGATTTATAAAGTAATATCTTATTAACGATTCTTTAGAAAGAAAAAGTTCACTATCTATCTACTACAGCTATGATTTAAACAAGAAACCTGCAAAAAAAAAAGTTATTCTAGGACTGTAAAAATGTTATTCTAGGACTGTAAAAATGCAATGAATGAATCGAATGCAATCTCTTTTATAAATTGCATCTTAAATTTCAAACAATTTTCGACTACTCCCTGGTATCTGTAAATATATAAAAGTTCTTAAAAAACATTATAAAGTAATTAGTTTTTGTATTTAAATGGATAAAAGGAACCATGGAGAAAAAAGGAGTAAAGGAATATGATATTAATTAGGGATTTAGAAGAAACTAATTACAATTATAATGTTTATGGTAAGCGGTCTTTGGCTAGATTTTACTTGCAATGGAATGTATAGCATATAAAATATGTTAAACATTATACTGAAAGTAAAATGCCATTGCCCAGGTCTAACCACGAGGAGGTAACCGCTTCCGAAGACCCGGGATGTGCATCCTGAAGATGTCCCCATGCGAATTAAATTGAAACCAAAGAAAATGATAACACCGAGAACGGTTTTTAATGAGCCCCACTCTTAGGCCCCACCCTAAGAGTTTAATTCAAAGAATCCTTTCAATTAATTACTATCAAAATTGAAGAGAAAAGTTTGAAAACTGAATAAGAAAATGGAAACGAGGAGTGCATCTGAATAAAATTCAAGTTACATCAATGATTTTATTGAAAACTAATACACTTTAGTATAATTTCAATATATGCA